GCATTACACTCTTTGTGTATGATGCATTGCTGTTTTTAAAACCTCAATGCCATTAATAACAGGAGCCTTCTTTTAAAACTTATTGTGGCCAGTTCTCTGTTTTCTGTGGGTGGATGAGCCAACCAGATAGGTTCCTTGGAATTGGCTTCTTTCTTTCCTTGGGCATTTTGTTTTTTTATCTGCCTGCTGAGAGTTGAGGACTGGAAACTCTTTTACATGCAAATTTAAGTGAAAAAAGAATTACGAAGGTAATTCTGCTGACCCTGTAACGGCATACCTAGATACTTCTAAAATAATTTATAATTGTTAACTTTAAAAATGTGGGGTAGTCTTGCACATCAGCACAGACAGGTCCAGCAGCCCTGAACACCTACAAACCATTCAAGGTTCTGGAAATTTGAGATTAATCTGTGATAAGGGGTTGCAGATGTGTGGTCCAGGAAAGGGCAGTCTACTGCCGGTGGACTTTGATGGTCTGTTTTGAGGGCTCATAATACAATGGGCTCGCTTTATATCTACTTTAATATGTAAATCAATACTTGAAAAATGATCTTTAGTATGTTTCTTAATTCCCCCCCCACCACCCTAGTTGTTTTTTTTTTTACCAAAGTTGCTGCTTGTTAAAGAGTTGAAAAGCTAAGAAACAGGAACATTGTCAGACAGGTAGAAAATAATTACTGATCATAAAAACAGTATAAACACAGACTGCTGTTTGAGAATTGACATTAATAAATTGGTAAGGAGCGGTATGTTTCTGTTCTCTGCTGAGTGTGCCTTTTGAGAGAAAGTCAAGGAAATAAAGAAAAATGGTACTGCTAAAATGTACTTCATCAGTAAAAGGCTATTAAGGACCTTGCTTACTTGCTGCAGATACTATTTCTGAAGGAATAATTCTTTTATTAATATCTGCAAAAAAGTTTGTCTTTAAATAATAGACTAAAAAAGCAGAATAAAAAGATAAGAGTTAAGTTAATGAAAGAAGAGTTTGCAAACAAGAAAAATTTTAAGATATGTCAACTTATTTTAATTATACTTCACAAATTGAAGCTGGAGTCATGTGATTCCTTCAAAGAAAAAAAAAATCTTGCCTAAACTGCAATTTTGCTGTTCTGTACACCTTTACAAAGATTTGACATTAAAGTAATAACATTGCTTCAAAAGTTTGAATAGAATGATGAAGAATAGTTGACTGGTCCTATTGAGTTAACAGTCAAAATGACAAATGATACAATATATTAAGTACACAATTAAGACAAACAGTTTGAAGGATTCTAAGTAGTGACAACCATAGCACTTGGTGGGGGAAAAGAAGAACAGCACCATTAACAACAAAGCTTGAGAGATGTTCTACAGACAAAGTGTAAAGGATGGGGCTTTGAATAACTGTTGGGTGTTATAGTATCAAAAACTATTTACATGAGTTACTTAGATATGTTTTTGGATATTTGAATATAGATGGCATATAAGCGCTTTATGTTTTCAAAAGAAGGCATTTCCCAGTGTATAACTGTAAAAGAAGCTGCTGCATTCACTTTAACCCCAGGCAGCTCCCTAAATATAACACAGGTCCTTAATTTAGAGTTGTTAACAAGATTAATATCTCAGTGATAATTAACACATTAAACCTGTGAAGGTAGAAGAATTTTTAACTCCACTTTTAATTCTAGAAATTTACTATTGTAAGTTTGAGTGGGATCTTTAGTTTAGCAGATTTGAAATGAGAGCCACCCTTGCTTCAAGGTGATAAACATTTTATTCAGCCTTTAAAATTTCCCCATTAATTGAGATTGTTTTGTTGATGTTTTTAGTAGGATGTTCGTGGGTGGTTATTCATAATGGCTAACAGTGGCAACCGATGAAACCAAGCTAAGGAGGATTAGGTACAATTTCCTGTCATGTGCTATGTATCTCTTGACTGAGAAGGAAATAGGAATCCCAGGGATTGAATTTCTGTAATAATGCTTTCATTTTGAGATGTGTTATCTGGAGTGGGCTAGTTATGCAAAATATAGATACACAGTTATTTTTCCAGTTTGTAGTCCACCAGTGATTTATTATGAGCGTTCTGTAGCTACTAGATGAAGCATTTCATTTGAAAGGGAAAATATAATATTAGTGAAATCTAATCACTCTATATCTTCTGGTAAAATTTTGAAACCAACTCTAGAGATGTTGTAGAATAGAGTTTTACTGCTGGTGGGGACTCGGGGTTATTGCAGATGGAGAGTTGAAGTAAGCTTGGTTTTAAGCAGAACAATTAGGCCATCTGGCACATATAGGAACTATTAATACTACATTCTAAGTGTGTATATGCTGTTGTGAAGATGAAATAGTACATTTGAAAGCATCACTAAATTCATATTAGCTTTTAGTTACTAGGTATTTTTGTAATTAATGGATTTTTAAAAGCACAACTCTGCTGTGATGTGGAAATCAGTAGAATATTTTGAAGTTAAAAAAAGAGGCCCTCATACTAGAAAAGGGTAGACATTGACCTAGATGTGGAGATCTGTGAAAGTATGAAAATGTTTCCTCTACGGAAAAAAAAGCTATCATTGTTTAACTTAGGTATTTTGCAGCAAGGGACATGATGCTCATTTTTGATTTTGCCTCTCTAGGCATATTTTAATTATGAGCCTCTTGTAATTAAATATGCTGTAGCTAAAAACAGAATCCTAAGTAACTAATGCACAAACAATTCTTCAGTGCCTTGACTGGGAAGAAGCTCATTGCTGTGTTCCACTTGCCTGCATGAGGGTTGGCTGCTGATTTGTGTCCTAGTGTGTCCTAGTGTTATGTTAGCGAACAGCTCATTACTTCTGGAAGAATCACAACATTGAGGAAAGCTCTAAACTTCGTGGCAGTTAGGCACGATTGCCTTGGTCTTAGACTGTAGTTTTGTAGTAATGCATATTTTAATTTTAGGTCCTTTCAGATGGTTATTTTTAAAAGCATACCATGTAGTCTGCATACATGAAAGATTTTAATTATAAGAAGACTAAGGCTTGCAGTAATCTCCTGTTGCAGAGTTTGCTTCTGGGCTCTCCTCTATTGATTTCTGCCTTTTGCGCTCACGTTAGACACATTCAGGGAAATTTGGCCAGTGCGCATTGATGTAGACTTACTGTTGGTG